CGGATCCCCATAATCGAATTTCTGTAATCCAGCACACGACTGGCATCGAAATTACACTCTGTCCCAGTTGTGGATGGAGACATAACCTACTTGAATGACCGGTAATGCCATATTGCAAAGGAAGAATAATATCGACGAAGAGTTATCCAAATTAACGTTGACGCGTTCAAAAACCAAGGGATGTTTTGTGACATTGGAAAACTTTCATTAAATTTAATAAATTTTTTTCCACAAAAATTGAAATCAATCCGAATTGGTTGAACCAACTCACAGCAATGCAATAATATCGAAGACGCTAAGTGGGAATTAAATTTTATGTTGGGACATATATGTTTGCATATTTCATATATCAGAGCAGAAACATTAAGCCAGTTATGCCAGTTTCAACTATTTCATTTCTTGAATTTTGAATATTAATAATTTGCTATGTTTAAATTTGCATAACCAATCAATTAGCAAATTAATATGAGTACGAATACATAAATGGTTGTCAGTTTGATTGAAATAATACTTATTTACTCAAAAACTGGTGATTTAAAAGTATTAATCATATATGAATTCGTAAAAATTTTATTTTAATGATTTTCTTTCTTTTTCCTCTTTTTTAATAGATATTCGAATAAAAAGATCGTAGAAGCAGTAAGAAGAAATATAATTTAAATTAACACAAATTTATGAAAAATCGAAATGAACAGTTAAATTAATTTTTCAATTCTGGCTTGTTTTTCATCTGGCGAGTATATGAGACCATTATATAAACGATAAAAACATTCATGACAATACGGTTTTCGTTCATGTTCTCGATATGTTCCACGTAGATTTAATGCCTGAAATTAATTAATTTCATCTTTCCTTTTTCTTTTCTTTTTGAAAATCAGTTACGACATATTTGCTTTTTTTTGCTATTATTTCGTCGATTATCGATATTTCAAGTTTTTAGAGATTATTTAATTGAAAAAAAAGAATTTGCAATTCCGGAAAAGCAACAAGCAAGAAATTTCAGCAAAAATTAATTTAAAATAATAAAATTAATTTTTAAATATTGATAAAATCTGAAATTTCTTGAATTGAAAAAATTTTGATTGCTCCCTTATGTTTTGCAAATTTTGACAAATACAATAAAAATTAGTGTGTAAGAAAAAAACAATTCAACTAACAAATATGATGACGTCAGATTAATTAATAACACTCAAGGAAAGCTCTTTATAGCATAAAAAGTAAACAATTGAATATTAAAAATTTTTTGGTATTGCATTCATAATAGAAAATACATGTGTTTACTAAGATTAATTTGATAAATTTTATGCAAAAGATTAATTACAAAGTTAACCTTTTGACAATAAGTGCACATGAAATGATAGGGATGGAACTTTTGCGCATAATATGAATTGGGTGCTAATGCTGTTACAATTGGACCTTCGATACTTTCCGAACAAAATGCGCAAATTGCTGGTGAACTAGTTGGTGAACTCTGCAAAATAATCCATCTCTCCCTTTATTTTCCTTTTCAAAAACAAATTCAACTTTTATCGAAAGAAAAATAAAAATTTCAGAAAAATTGTTATGGAAACAAAAAGCATTTCTTCTTTTTTTTTTTCCAATTTGTTTATTAATTCATCTTTCTTCACCTCAATATTAATCATTCGTCGTGGAGTTTCCGATCGAGCACGCTTTTTTATACTATTCCTGTAATTAGAAACGAATTTCGTCAAAGCAATAACTAATTGTTATTTCGATTTGGTCTCTTGTTTATTAAAAATTGATAAGGTTTATCAAATTAAATTCAACGAATTTTTAATTTTCCAAATTATAACTTACATTTGTGATTCGGAAATGTCAACACCATAATCTCGCGAAACTCTTTCCAAAGTGAAACTATTTTCTGTTGCTGAAATATATAGGATGATATTTCCGGTAAGTAATAATTAAATTTAGCAATAATGAAATGAACAAAACTAATTTAAATAAATTTTATCGAAGAGTAAGCGAATAAATACATTAAGTAAGTGAATAAGTAATCTATTGATTACAAACAACTAAGTAATTAAACAAATTTTCAAACAAACCATGATGTTGTTTTGGTGATGGGATAGGTATTTCCTCATCTGGCCCAGGTGTAATACGTAAATTATATCCAGTGATTACTTCCTACAAATTAATAATTTAATTGG